CCTGGATTACAGGAGGAGGAGGGGGTCTGCCGTCTTACCTGAAGGCCCCGTCCTGTGGCTATATTGGCCCACCTGGTGTATGCTCTGTTGTAACAGGCTCAGGCACTCTCCGAGGCAGCTCAGGGTGGCGGCCGAGGTAGCTTTGAGCAGCAACAAGTCCTGGTCCAGGGCCGTGAGGGGGCCCGAGCACGGCAAGGCCTCGATGGCTCGCACGAGGGTTTTCTGCTGCCCTTCCACTTGGCTCATCATCTATGAACAGGTCAGAAGACAAGGACAAGGGGTCAGCGCAGAGGCAGCAGAGATGGCGAGTGCCAATTCTCTCCCTCCGTTCCAGCCAGGGGCCAAGAATCCAAAAGCAGGAAGGACCAAGGCGGGCGGCTACCAGATCCCTGCACACCCCGGGAGTGGGCAGCGGTGCATTAGTCCCAGTAACCAGCCAGAGTCAGAAGGAAATAATCACAGTACGGTCAGCTGGCATTCCTGGTGTTTCGCGCTGCGGAGAGCTTTCTGGACAGGATTTCTTTTAATCTTTACACCAGTCCTGCCAGGTGGGCACTATGGTCATCCTCATTTTCATCCATGAGGAAACTGAGGCTAAGAGGGGACACACAGCTTGTGTCTGCGGCAGGATTCAAACTCAGCCCTTCCTGACTCCAGCTCTCCCTATCAGCCCCCTCAAGTTATCCACTGTCTCAAGTGTCCATCCATCTTTCGGAATACCCTGACCCCTCAGATAAAGATGTGAGACCTGCTCAGACGGCAATGTGTTTCAATGGGAAGAACACCAGAGATGCAGTCAGAAATTCCTGAGTTCAAATCCTGACTGTGCTGTGTGACCCTACACAATCAATTAACCTCTCTGTGTTGCTAGTGACAGACAAGCTCAGACTCGTCTACAACAGCACAGGCGGGTAGCAATCTGCATGAGTAACGGGAGTTCCCCACATTCACGAACTAACAGATCCTTCATTTAAAAGTAGGCAGCTACCTGCCCCAGAATTCTACCCCACCCAACACTGTGGCGGAAGGTGACACAGAGCTCCCTCTCGTCTTGGGCCGACAGATCACACGTGGGATTCTGCTGACCTTGATGTCCAACATGACCCATTACGGCAGGGGGGAGGGAACTCACATGCTGGAAGCTCCACCGGTGCCGGGGGCGACACATGCCTGGTACTTACAGCAGTGACACAGCAGATACACACACACATACACACACACACACACACACACACACACACACACACACACACACACATTCATACATATACATACACATATTTCATATACACACATTTACACATATATGCACACATTCACACATATACATACACATTTACACATATATACATACACAAACACATATATTTACACATTTACACATATACATATACATACACACACATCTACACATATGCATACACATATTACACATACACATTCACATATATACACACATCTATACATATACACACATATATATTCACACATTTACACATACACACATATACACACATTTACACATATATGTACACATTCACACATATACACATATATTTACACATACACACATATACTAACACATATATACACACCTTTACACATATACAAACACATATTTACACATTTACACATATACATACACACATCTACACATA